CTTATGAATTTGTTTGGTGCAGCATTCTATATGTATATAGGTATGCTTGGGCTGTTATAAATGTAAAAAAAAAAAATTATTTATAAATTATAGATTTGTTTGGGGGAGAGGATAAATTAAACCTGATCTGCGATGACGTCACAATTAGTGGTTCAACGGATCACAAATCTCACGGTTCGGATCACATTACAGTTTTTGACCCACGGATCGGATCATTTTTCGGATCAGCAAGAAAAGAAAAATATTTAAATTTAACTTGCTTTCCATTTATTACTTAAAGCGAAGTACTTCTTTGATACCACAGCAAATACTACTAGATTAACTAAGAAAGTTTAAACATGATTAAAGAGACAAGAGAACAGCCAGTAAAAATAAGAACAAATACAAAAATTACAAGCATAGATAAATACAACAGAATATGTGACAAATAAAATAAGGTTGGTAGTATTCAAACACAGAAATGTAATAATTAGGGAAAATAACACTGCATAGTGTTCACTGTATAAATTAAATATAGATTTTTATCACAGCTGTTCTGTTGTTTGATGATCATTAACGACAGCAGCAGTATTTATATGCCACTGTCCCTTTAAGACCTGATGCACAGATCCGATATAATGATACACATCACATCCGATTTCTTTCTCAGCTGTTTTCATTCACTTGAGACACAACTGACTAGGTTTACCTGAATGATTGTCGAGATGGGTATTTTGTCATAATTTTATGTGTATGTGTCTGTTCAGAGGATTCAGAAGAGGATTCAGTTTGGTGTTCGCGCGCCATCTGAAACGCGTGTGCACGCTTCATGTGTGTGCGGCTGTGCACGCGAGTAACGAATCAAGTTCCCTTTCGCCTTTTCTCTCTGGAATTGTTTAAAATTCGCTTGCTTGTGTAAATACGAACAAATGATAAACTTATACTCTATTATGGTTAAATTTTGCAATTAATCCGCAGATCACATGCGTGCCGAACCGTGGGGCTTGGTCCTTACAGATCACGGATCAACTACGATCCATTTAACCACTAATTATGTTACTAGTAATTATTGTAATCAGACAGTGACTAGTATCTTTTTCAATTTCACTAATATCTAGATACTAGTACTTATTTAATTTTTTCAATTGTGTAATTCAATCTATTCAATTAGTCACTAGTACTTGAGAACCTCTTCAGATATTAGTAGGCATTATTTTGGCTACTAGTCACTTAATAGTGAATGTCTTAATACTGAAATTACTTCTATCGTTAGTGGTAAAAAAAAAAAATTCAATTTTTGTTACTGACTTCTATGGTCACCTGCGGTTCAGACAGTAATACAAACCAGTAACTGTTAGAACCGTTGTGGGGGAAAAGAAAAAGAAAAAAGCTGCAATTTGTTGCCAGTTTCAATAGTTAAGCTACAAGTCACTGTTGGGGAAAAATGTAAGTAAAGGAATAAGTAGCAGTATGTACTGAAAAATCACTAGAGACTGGTTAAATAAATACTAGTAACTACTGGAACAAGTATTAGTCCAATAAATATCCAGTTACTAGTGAAAATGAAACTTGAAATTGAAAAGATACTAGTCAATACTGGATTACTTAGTATATACAAAATGTAACTTAATGAAAAGGCTAGGTAGTAAGGAATAATGCTGCCCTCAAGTGCACCTTGGGAAACACCTGTGAGTTGGGAATTCGTTATTAGGATGTAAGTCCTATAAAAAAAATTTAAAAAAAATTAGGCTATATTGTGAATCTGAATTCAAAAAGATAAAAATTTAACATTTATATCACTTACTTATACATGTTTACTAGTAATTAGGATAATTAGTGATATCCTAATACTTTGATACTTCCGTCTTCACTTCGAAGCGAAACGTAAATGTTAAACCGGCTTGCCACAGTGATGGTGGGTTCTGAGTCGAGCACACGCACCCGCGCAAGAACACGGGTTCAAAGCAGGTGCCAGCAGCAACAATGTAACAATGTAGCAACGTCACAACGAACAACCAACCGTTCTAAACGCTTTCCAGGTTTGACAGCGTATATAAGGCACGTGACTGCCATAATGCTGAGTCGATCATGGGTGTGATCGTGTTTGTTGAATACTAAACCACACTACAATATGAGCAAAATCATATTTCTCAATACTTACCCGAAATCCTGATCCATAGATTTGAAAAAGAATTTATAACTGTTGACCGGACGGTTGTTGAGGACATTTTTAAAATCCGCCAACGTGACTTTCTCCGGAGAAACCATCAGTTTCACTAAATAAGGGGTTTCTTCTTCGTCGATATGGTATATAATTTTGGTCTCCGCCATGAGTAGAGGCTTATATGGGTAGGACAATCATTGACAGAAGAAGGAGCAAGGGTTGTAGCAGCGCGATACAAAATATATTTGTAGACTATAACTCGTCAAGTGCCATTTATGCGCTATAAGGCGACATTGCTGGTTGCCGGTTTCACGTAGGCAAACAAAAATCCTGGTCTTGAAGGGAGCGAGCGGTTCCAGACATAATGGGAGCTTGCGCGTCTCTATCACGGCGTCAATGTTTCTCTCTGATCGCCAGTAAAACAGGAAGGGACTGTTCACCTCCCTATGAGCAGGAGTTCAGGATATTTTACCATTACAGGTTTCTCGTAGAGGTAGGCTGCCCTCTAGCGATAGACCATGTCAGCGACAGACTTGACTGAACTGCTGTGACTCTACTACTCTATGCCAACAGTTGTAAAACACTGTACCTTCTTCTTCTTCTTCTTTTGGAGTTTTATGGCGGTTGGCAAACAAACGATAGGTGCATTCCCGCCACATACTAGGCTGGAGTGTGGACCATTGATGGAATAGGAAGAACTAAAAAATTAAAAATTAAAATAAAATAAAATAAACAAAAATAGTAAAAATAAATAAATAAATAAAACCCCAAAAATAATAATAATAATAAAATTATATAATAATAATAATAATAGAAAAAAAATTAAATTCTTCTAAATCCTGTTAAACAGATCTACTTTTTTTAAGAATGTCATTAAAGCATTATATATTTTATAATGATTCAAGCCATTATTCAACAAAAACACTGTACCTTGTACTTGTCCTTGCAAGATAAACCTTTGCGGAAATGCTTTTTCTTCTTTCGTGTTTATATATACAATATATACAAGGTCGAAGAAAAGGGTGGGGGTGTAAACAGTAAATAGTAGTCTATATATTTTTTATACAACTAAGTATATGATTATATGATGACAAAACAGAGACCCGCTGTCATCGTTGTTATAGATTTACATATAGATGTATCACAAACATCGTTTGTCTTGAACTAGAGGCACCAAAAGACTATTTATTTACAAAGTAAATTGTACGAACAAGAATACATAACCAAACATGACAGGGATATATATAGGGAAAAAATACAGAACTATGCAACTGTTTAATCTCTCTGATGTTCTTTATATATATATAGGCAATATATTAGGCATTTTTCTTTTCCATTTGACTTTATGAATATAATAAACAATTATAGGCTAATAATTAAATGAAAAATATAAATGCTAGATTTGTTTCACATTCCAATGAGAAACACATCAGCCTCTACAAAATTTACAACAATTGTGTACATTCCCAAAAGAAATAATCTCAGGTGCATTTTTACAAATAACATTAACTTCTTAAATTAATTTTATTGCTATATTGCAAATTTCTAACCGTTTTTAATGCTGGATTTGAATAGAACATAAATGGACAATAAAATTAATGAAAACAATATAAAATGTTTAACTACCATAAACATTTCATAAAGTTATGTCGTTTTAATAAATGTGGCAATGCAGCAGACCTAAATGAACAAAAAAAGTCTTCACACATACATAATACAGGAAAAAGTAGTTGAAATAATGAACACTATTATCCAGTATCATGTATCCAATAGCTTAATGGGAGGCAAAGTAACTAGAGCTAGTAGTCATTCCCCTTTGTCGTGTTTAATGCATCTTGTTGCAACCACCACCAACATTATATCCATATAAAGGACATGCACAGAAGACGCAAAGTGTAACAAAATACACAAAGGTACAACGTTCTGAAGATGTGCAAGCATGAGCACCAGTTAGACATTTTGGATCATTACAGCATATATTTTCTAACAGCAGGGGGCAGCACTGTTCTTCTCTATACTTCCTGTATTCCCGACCGAAGGTATTGGATGGTTGTTTAGAAAACACTTAACAAGACAAGCCTACCAAAAGTAATGCAAGATCCAGGTCCCAGTCAGAGTCATTTAGAATCAAAGAATCCAGCTAAACTCAATGCTCACAATCTACATTTCACACTCTGCCTCACTATACACAACAACTGAAGTGAACTTACTGTATGTATTCAACTCATTGGAGTTTAGTATTCTGAAGGATACCACTGGCTCATGGATTTTAGTCAATCAAAACAACTGAGCAAAGAACATTCTTCCTCTTTGCTCAGTTTGTTCTTAAAGTACCAATTTTCTTGTCTTCTGAAATGCACTGATTGACATTTAAACAGTAAATAACTTGGAGAAGTTGGATGCCCTTATGGACTTAAAGGGATAGTTCACCCCAAAATGAAAAATGTCCTATGATTTACTCACCCTCAAGGCATCCTAGGTGTATATGACTTTCTTCTTTCAGACAAATACAATTATATAAAAAAATGTCCTGGGTCTTCCAAGTTCTATAATGGCAGTGAATGGGTTGAGGGTGAGTAGATCATGGGGTAATTTTCATTTCTGTGTGAACTGTCCCTTTAATGAACTTCCTAATGCAGTTACGTAGTATACTGCTTAGTGTTCCATAATTATAGGAAAAAGCAAAGATTTTAGTCAATAGTGTATTCAAATACTAGATTTCTAGATTATTATTATTATAAATAATGTTGTATTTTTATTTTACATAAAAGTTACATAACTTATGGTAAAACAAAATGTTTTACTACAAAATGTTCAAAACTTAGCTTGTTTTAAATATTGTACACAGGCACAGCTAGTTTCCCATTGCCAACTCTCTGTGGGACATATGATATCAGTTAAGACATTGCGATCAGAATCTGGTCATAGTGGATCTGAACATTTGTTACTGGGCACTGGTCAAGTAGAGAGGGAGATAATGGAGGTACAATGTCTTACATATAGAAAGAATGAATCTTAATTACACAAAATATTTAAGAATAAACTTTATTATATTTGTAGATTGGTCCTCTAGTCTATACTGACGATCATATATTGCCTCTCTAAAGATAAATGTACACTCCAGATCAAATAAAAACTACTGCATGAATGCTTAGTAACCTATGTAAATGAACATCACTGACCAATGAAATTGCTGAAAAAAATGTTGATGATGGAAAAGAGATAAATGGGACTTGCTCATATTGCAAAAGCAAATAAACTGTAACTGTACCACATAATGCTGTAAAACAAACACTGTAAAAAGACAATGGACCAAAGAAGTCCTGGTCAATAGGACTCAAAATTTATACAAAAAGTAACATATAGAGACACACACATCAGAATAGCAGAAACAGTACTTTTAATTGCCTTTGAGGTTCACTTGTGTACCATGTTTGACTATTTAGACCTGAAGCCACAGCTATTTGTTTGCTTCCTGAGTTTTATAAGAAATTCCCATTCAGATTCAGACATTTACAGTGGTTTCTACCACACAGAATTTTAGCAATTCAACAGAAATTTTTTCATTTTGAATTTTAATACAGAAGAGTACCAAATTGAATTCAGCAAATTGCTCTCCCACATTTTACATGTGTGTAACTTGAATTCAATAGATTACCATTATAGTACACTGCGATTATGAAAAAAAGATTTCAATTAAATTGACTCACCAATATCAACAGAATTTGAGTATTATAAGATCATGTAAGCAGTAATTATGCTGTAGAAAGTCAGTACTTCCATTCCTGTTCTCAATGTAAATGTAAAGTCCTTGAATCTCTTCTCATTCAGCACGCTCTGGACCAGCCAGCAGCTCACTACGAATCACTTCCATGACATTCTCTCCGTTTCTTTAGTTGAGAGAGAGGAAGACAGAGAAAGAGTGTGTAAATACATCACAATGCATCTCGTTGTCCGGAACGAATTTCACTAATTGAGACCACATTACCTCTGTTTAGATCAATAACTTTTGGAGAGGGATAGTTGTTTGCCGCTGCCCTGTCTTTTATTATGTTGTTCTTGTAGTCTAAATAAAAATGTAAGGTTTTCTTCAATAAATGCTGATATAAATATGAAATCATGAAGAATTATTGTAAATCACCATCTATTAATATACATCAGATGTGACTGAGACACTCAGATTTAAAAAAATATATATTTCACTGGAAAATCCCTTGTTGTGCCTTCTCTCCAAGAAGGCACAACAGCGCCTACACTTTCTCCGCCGGCTGAAAAGAGCAAGTCTCCCTCCACCCATCCTCACCACATTCTATAGGGGCACCATTGAGTGCGTGCTGACCAGCTGCATCACTGTCTGGTAAGCTCAACTTGACTTGACTTGACTTGACTTACAAAACAATAACCAACCAATTAAAAAAAAAGACTGTGGTAATGTAATGTAATCCAGGAGTCATTGTACTTGAGAATATTGAAGAAAAAAAAAAACACGATTCTTGCAAACCAAATCACACTTCTTTACACTTTACAGAGCACTAGTTACAGTATCTGTCTTTTCTCTTTATTTTCATAAAGTCTTGATTTTTAAATGACCTATTTCAGCTTTAAGAGAAATCATGGAAAAATGTGGTTGCGCTTACCCAGTCGCAAGTCTTCCTGATTGTAGGGTTGCAGTTCTGTGGCATCAAGCTCAATGGATGTCCTCCTCCCCCTGCCAAGTAAAGCAAACATTATCCTTTTTATGTTTTAGCGAGTGTAAAATGATTATTGTGGATCTTACTTGACTCAAAAACACTGAATAAGATACCGTGAAGCAGAAATGACAAAACTGGAAATCTTTAATCCTTACCGCTCAGACCTTCGAACCTCAAACTCAGGCCCTGAATCAGATATAATATGAAATGTCAAAGGAAAGTTCAGTAAGATTCAAGGCAATAATCTCAAAGGTACTAATTTTATATGTAAATGTTTCAGTTGACCAACATGCAGTTTGACTAAAAAGCCAAACATATTTCTTTTCCCGTTTATAAAATCATCACTTTATCTAATCCACATGATCCTACCCTTTTTTCTGCAGTGCCTCGTGGTTATAATGATGCCAATGAGCATTACCAGAAGCAGCAGGAAGATTGCCAGGATGTA